CGAGAAGACAAATAATCTGGTTTGGTTTCTACTTGACAAAATTACGGCTTTTAGTCTTGAAGTGCTAAGCCTTTATGTACTGTGGATTAACGGAGAGGGTGATCTGAAACATGGTGATTCCTCCATGATGAGCTAGCTATCTTCAGTTGGTAGCACTGGAATTGAGACTACTGGAAAGTATTCCTAAGGTTTTCAGGGTAGTTTTGATTGTCTGGTGGCTTGTCTCATTAAGTCCCTCACCATTTAAGACAGGATTCATTGTGCTGAGAGTTTGTGATTTATGTAAAAGCATAAGGGGCTTGATTCTCTATTGCCAGGTAACGGATACTGTCACTTACATCCACTTTGCATTACCGTAATACATTGCTGTTCTGCTTTGGGAGCGTTTGGAACCCACCTGATGCAAGGCAAACCTGCCATATGGTGCAAGAAAAGTTTCAAATTCAGTGTCTTCTAATGCTTTTCAGGTTAAAAACAAAATAGAACCTCACTTCAGTGAAAACCCAGTTGTCTTGGGGGTTTTGTCCTCCAACTCTTCCTAATATCACTGGTGATGCAAACTAAAACTCCTGCAAGTAATCCTTGCTGATGATGGTGGTGGTTCCCAAATCTAACCCAGAGTCTGGAATTCAAGAGGGATCTGTGCACTGTACCTGATGTAACCACAACTATGTGGCAACAACAGCAGCAGCGTGAACTTTGTAGCAGTGCGATAACTTTTTTTATCAGCTCCAGTATTCAGAGGCTGAGGTTAAAGTCCATTTTGCCAAGTGCTGTTTTAAAATGTGGGTGCGTGGGCTGGGGAGGCTCAGTATCTTGCAGTGGAATTGATCTAGGAATGAGTCCAATGCTCAGCCTTGCAGAGGCATCCTGTTCCCTTTTGAGAGGAGGGAGGAAGGATAAATTTATGTGGGGGCTGATCCTTTTGTGTTCAGTGATGGGATGGACAAGATCTAGTCTCTGAGAACCAATATAGGAAGTACCCTGTCTCTTAAGTTGCTCACTGGGTTCATACTGCATTTTTGTAGTGACTGCTGTCTTTAAAGATTCTCTGGTAGATAGTTCTCGCTCTCCTGATGTGACTTGCTGATCTTGGAGCAAAATTATTCTGGTAATTTTTTGTTTCCTTGGAATTTATGCTGACATCTTCTCTCCAAATACTTTCGTATGTGTCCTTTTTCAGGGAACAGAGGCAAGAGAAACTTAGATCAAAATATATAACTGCTCTTTATTGTTGTTTGCCTACTTCTGTGTCTGTGATAGTTCAGGATAAAGGTTTTGAGGTACCTATGACCTCTTGTGAGGTCCCATTGCTGCTCCCTGATTCTCCCTGAGCGATAACTAGACTGTTTGCTATTTGAGGTGGAGGCCCAAAGTCACTTCTGTGATACAAGTGGGCTACTGGTTAAAAAGCAGAGTCTCCTTTTTTCCCTTTATCTCCTCCTATGTTTAGCTATTTATTTCCTCCCCATTTTGCTAATGCTAGTGTTCATGCAGACACATGGTGAGACAGATTAGGGAGCTGATCCAGCTGAAAACTAACCCATTTTAGTAAGGGAAAGGATTTGTTTGGGGAGTGCTTGCTGGTAATTGCTGGCACAGGGAGGCAATATGAATGAGGGGGAGGGAAAGACATTGCCTCTTTTGCAGCAGCCTGTGCTTATGTTGGATTAAAGTGACTCTGGGCCCACACCCATGGTCATTGTTGTATGTTGGCTGGCAGTAATCTCTGCTGAACAATGCCAGGCTCCTCTCATCCCTGCTTTTGAACCTGCATGTAAGCGCTGCTGTCTTCCTTGCCTTGGCTCCTTTCGGGTCGGAGCAGCAGTAGTCAGTCTGCAAAATGGAGACTTGCTGCAGTGCTGAGTTTGCCCCTCTGCTCTCAGTGATTGAGGGCACCAACTGACCCATGCTCTGGTGGCAGGCAAGTACCTGTGAAGGTCAAACTGATTTGTTTCTCTTGTTTGTTTCCCTAGGTGATTTCTCTGGTCAGCTTTTAGCTTATTTGAGTCTTGGTCCAATATTCATTATTGTTGGCTTTGTAACACTCATCATATTCAAGAGAGAGCTTCACACGGTGAGTCCTTCTCTCCCTTCCTAGCTTCTCCTTATGACAAAAGTCTTTTCCTTTGTCACCTGGTGCTCCTGTATTCACACTTCTTTTTCTCTCTTTAAAGAGCAAGCTTAGGTAAGGTGATCTTCCTGTCAAAGAACAGCAGGAGACACTTATCACCTGTACCAGGTTAAAAGACAGCTTAGCCTTTGCTGACTTTTCTGTTACTCTGTAGTATGTTTTGGGCATTATCTGTCCAAAAACATCGAGGGAGATGTCTGAGGAACTAAAGAATGCAGTTGCAGAGGCTGAACACTCCCAAGATCCAGTGGGATCATAGCACTAGTAGGTTTCTACAAGATGGGCAGCATATGCAGGAGGTGGTGTCTGTAACTCAATAGGATGTGCTTTCTTTGAACTACTGAGGCAGAAAAGGGGCCACAAAATAAAACCTACAGATTCCCAGGGGAGTGGATCTGTCTATAAGGGCTGCTTCCCAGCTGTGAATTGAATACCAGGGACAGAAGAGACTTGCTTCTGTCCAAGTGACTAACAAGGGACTCTTTTGTAATACATAATGGTTTCTGTCTGCTCCGACAGGTAGTTGGGAATCACTGTCATGGATAAATTCCCTTTAGGAGGTGTAAACCTCTTGTAACATTTGCCCTCAGTGAACAGATAAAATAGGGGCCAGTGAAAGGATTTTGGCATCAGATTTCTAATATAAGGCCATGGTGTCATGGGAACCAGTGGCTCAAGGGACCTGGGAATGGGACTTCTAGGTTATTAAGCCAATGCTAGCTAGGAGAGGCAGCTGTTAAGTTTTGGCAACCCAAAAGGTTTCTTGTTGACCCAAAAGAGAGAATAAGTTAGAGTAACTATTGCACAAATTCATAGGTTTTTGAATACAGGGGCTTGTTAGGCGTTGGTAATGAGACAAGTGTTGAGGTTGATTCCCAATTCTTTATGTGGGAAGTCACCATTCAGGTGGAGAGAGGCACTAGCTGACTTGCAGCAGCCTGACCCGTAGCTCAGGACATAGGGTGAAAAATTGCTCCATCATCTGGAATGGGACAGAGTGTTAAGGAGGCAGATTATCATCACCAGCTGGGAATTTGATCACAGCAGCAAGACTAATTTAGGGGAGGTGTATGGACCATGGAATTAAAGAGTAAAAATAAATGCTACCAGTCTGGCTCAGTTCAGAATGTGACTTCATTGTAGACTGAAGACAGCAACTTCAAGATGAAAACATTCATAAAGGGAAAAGCCAGAAAGCCTAAAAGTCACCTTTTTTTAAGCTATTTACCCAAATAACAGTGAGTGCACTCCCCCTGTTGGTCGTCGGGGAAAGACAATCCCTTAAAACCTGCCCTGTTAAAAAATGTCACTTTCTATACTTGCTGGTGGAAATATGCTAACAGAATTGCTATACAGTGTCATTTTTGTCTCTTTCTGTGTATCATCTGCTGAAAAGCTGCATATACACAATATGTTGCCAAATACACAAAGTGGGCTGAAAAAGAAATGCTTTTCTTCCTCAGGTAGAGAATTTTGAAGCCGTTGGTTTTAACTCTAGTAGTCAAAAAAGAAAACTAGAAACATATGGTTTGGGGTTTTCTCAACAGAGAGAGCTTGGTAAGTAGATGGATCTTTTAGATAGGATGACGCAGTTGTCTTGCCTTCACAGATCTCTTTCTTGGGAGGGCTGGCATTCAACGAGGGAGTGAACTGGTTAATAAAAAATGTAATCCGGGAGCCTCGGCCCTGCGAAGGTATGGTATGGCCCATTGGTGTCACGGTGTCGGTCGAGTTTTGAGTGGAATGCTAACTGTGGGGGGTTAGAGGGTATTTTCCCCTTTGCCTCATGTTGGCTTTGGATGTTTGGGTGTAAGAAGGCTGGCAGAGCCATCTGAGCAGAGACGTGTCCTGTGAACTCATGTGCACATACTCCAGCAGAGTGGTCTGGCTTCACATCTGGAACGTTCCAGCTGCTATGTACAGAGTAGACCTTGACCATACTCTTTCTTCTTCTCTTCCCAGAAGCCCATTCAACAGTGACCACAAAATATGGGATGCCGTCCAGCCACTCCCAATTCATGTGGTTTTTCTCTGTCTATTCCTTTCTGTTCCTTTATTTAAGGTAAAAATTCAATGTCAGGTTTTGGCTGTTAATATGTTGAAACACCTCAAATAGATGGCTCCCTTACTGTGTGCCACCCAAGTGGCATAATGGAATTAAATCTGAGGAACTGCACAATTTTCTGTGGCTAGGGTGGATGAAGCATGTCTATCTCAATCTGAACGTAGGACTGTAGTTACCATTGCTGAAAACTGAAGGGTACGGGTGGGCCTCCTATGCCTATCTGGGTACAGGTCTCCCGATTTGCTTTTTCTAAGCCATGATGATCCACCAGTGTGAGGGAAGAGGGGGGGAATAGGGAGGAGGAAAGAAGAGCTGCTTTCTCATGTGTCTACTCAGTTTTGTCAGTGGGGTTGTCTGCAATCTTTTAGGTAATACCTGTTGCCCACTTGCATGACCTTTTAGTTCATCTCCCTTACCAAGTACTGGTTTTACATGCTGTGCTGTGCTTTTCTGAAATTCTCGCTGGGGCATGGCTCTGTCTTGTGGCTCCACATGTGGAGAAAGACAAAACTCACAGTTCCTCCTAGCTTTGTGGACGATGGAGGGACTCTGACGTCTTGGCTCCCTGTTGCATATGCTCAGCATGTGCCTTTCGCATCAGTTGCAGTAATTGTGAGCATTCTGCCTTCCATCACAGCAATCCCTGTTAACAGTTGGAGAGAGAGAAGTATGGCTTTCTGGGTTCTCTTTAACTCCTGCCAGTGGGACAGATTGCTGCTGGGATGGTGTCGAGCTGTCCATGACCCCACTGGAGTAGAGCTTTCCTAGGGTTTCAGAGATAGTGAGAACAGAGATAAGGACTGCTCAGCTCCCTGCCACTGTGCTAATGGCTCTCCATCTCTTTCAGAATGCACCAAACAAACAATGCGAGGTTTCTGGATTTACTATGGCGACATGTGCTGTCCATCTGCCTCGTCACAGTGGCTTTGCTAGTCTCATATAGTAGGTATGGAGCAATTGTTTGTCTTAATGCTCTCATACAGTCCTGTGGCCTTTAACAGCCAGCAGACCTGTCATTCCTTATCCTGCATTTCTGATCTGATTCTTGATGACTGCATTTGTACAAGTCAGAGCTTTGTGGAAGCTGCTGTGTTGCCATGAGACCCTTCAAATAAGCAAACAAAGGTGCTACATGTGTGGTGCTTCACAGAAGCATTTATAAAACCCAAGATCAGTTGAGCTTGTAGCAATTCCCCATCGGCTCCATTGCCATGCTCTAGCCTCACTGCCTCGCCCTCTTTCCAGCACTAATCATGAAAGCATTACACCATGCCTTGGCACACCAGCATCTGCAGCATGTGGATTGCTACAGTTGATCAAACTAATTGTTTTGCTTGAGCGTTAGTTAATAAAAACATTTATAGCTGTTTGACTTGCAAGATTCAGTTGTATTAAGATGAATGAAGAAAATGAAACTTTGATAATGATTTTTTTCCCTTTAGTAGATTTAAAAAAAATATATATATATACACACACATATAAAATGAGCTCCAGTGATTGGAAACCAGACAAATTCAGGCTAGAAATAAGGCCGCGTTTTCCACAGGAAAGTAATTACCTGTTGGCACAGTTGACTGTACACTAGAGATATATACACACATATAAAATGAGCTCCAGTGATTGGAAACCAGACAAATTCAGGCTAGAAATAAGGCCGCGTTTTCCACAGGAAAGTAATTACCTGTTGGCACAGTTGACTGTACACTAGAGCTGATTCCTTATTACTGGTTATTTTTAAAATTCTGACAGGATAATTTCATAAGAGATATATCATCTAATTAAAAATTAATTTGAGGAAATCCAGTGGGCTGTGCTAGGCAGAGGGTCAGATAAGATGATCTTAATGGCTTTATGATATATGGGTGAAAAGAATTTTGAATGTGACTCGTAGCTCGTGTGCAGGGATAACTCAACAGACCATTAATACAGCTTTCTGAATGGCTGCAATCACAGTAAGCACGCTGTGGTAGTGCAGCCTTTGTGCTGTCACATTTGAGAGCAGCAAAATCGTAACAAAAATGGTGTCTATGTTCTTAAAAGCCTTTAAGCCTGGCTTTGGTGGCTTGGAGGGGTCTTGTCTTGTTACTGGCTTTAGAAAAGTCTCTCATGGGAACCAACATTAATAGTTCCTCAGCTAATCCAGAGATATATGAAGAAGAATGCGGAGGGTTATTAAGTTAAGCTCAAAGTTTCAGCGCTCTGAGCTGAAACTGCTGTAGCAGGGAAGACAGTTTTTCCCAGTTTTTTCCCCCACTTTTTTGCCAGCTTTTTAATGAAAAAAGTAAGATACCTGCTTTTAACATCTGGAGGATAACTTGCTCAGAATGTCTGAGGGTCCAGTGAAACATCAGCCCTTGAGTCATGCCTCCTCTTGTTTTAAAGCTTGTCTGGTGACTCTTCTCTTCCACTGCAGGGTTTATTTGCTTTACCACACCTGGAGCCAAGTCTTATATGGAGGTGTGGCAGGAAGCATTATGGCCATAGCCTGGTTTGCCTTCACACAAGAGATACTAACTCCTCTCTTCCCAAGGATAGCTGCATGGTAAGTCTGTGGAGGTTTTATTCCTGCAAGTCTGCATTTTGTGGATTGCTGTTTTGCTCATTAAATGAGTCCCTTGCAGTGAGCTGGTAACACAGGTATAGTAGAATTCCCTGGCAAAAGAAAATTTTCCTAGTCAATCGGTGTAAAAATTGTACCTTGCATCTAAAGCAAAACAAACATAAAGATACTTCAGTCTCTAAAATTTTAATTGTAGCTGTACAAGCCCTGACTGTAAATGGGCTGCTCAAACTTCTATGAGCTACCGAAGTTACAGATGTTAGAAATGGGAATTCCTGGGTTTTGTTCAGTTTTGCATACTTGACTGTTGTGTGGCTGTGTAACCTACTCATTCCTACATGTTTTGCGTATAGAAAGGATCATATAGCCTTGCCTGATATGGGTAGGGGAGAGAGGAAGTTTAAGCAACTGTTTTTTGTAAAGCCCTACTAAAGTTGTGAGGTGTGGCAGAGTGCTGGAGAAGCTTTTCAAGCAGGACAGACCTTTCGTAATGAAGGTCTAATGACCTAGTGAAATTGCAAAACCATTTAAATGTAATATAGTCTGGAAACATTGTATAAGGAAAGGAAAAACAAGAGGGGGTTTTTTTTGATTAAATGTAACAAGGAGCTCCTTTCCCAGACTGAAGGGTAATGGAATAGTAATGTTAAGTCTGGAGCAGTGTTTGTGCTATTTTTTTTTTTTATTTTGATCAGAATTGTGGTGGAGGAAGTCTAATTATTTCCCCTTTTCCACCACCTTGTCCACTTCCAGGCCAATTTCAGAGTTCTTTTTAATCCGAGATACCAGCCTCATTCCTAACATCCTGTGGTTCGAATACACAGTCACGAGAGCAGAGGCAAGGTAAGTGACCTGAGGGGGGGAAGAGCTGTAGCTGGTTTGACTTGTCAGATGTAATTATTAATTTATTTTCTAATATGTAGATAGCTGCTGTGGGTAGAATAGGGCAGAGTAAAGAAATACCAAGTTGAGGGTTAACCACTGCATCTGGAAGGTGAGTCTGTTGGGGAGCGTGAGATTAAAGAATGTTTCATTTAAATAGAATTTCAGCTCCCTAGCCCGTGTGTTTTGCAAGCAAGTGTTTATAATCTTGCATCTGCATATGAGCTTGTGCACACTTAAGACATGGTGGATGTTCTAGGACTGTAAAGAGTGGGAAGGACCGATCTCCTTTTAGAGTCTGGTGGGGGCAGCTTTATTTTTGCATGGAGCTAAGCAGGGCCTTACTTTAATCCTCCTATCTTTTGCCTGCTGGTTTGCCACAATACCCTGCGATAGGGCTGGGGCCATCTCTCTCACCCTGCCCTCTGTGTTGCCGTTGCAGAAACAGACAGCGCAAGCTGGGTACGAAGCTCCAGTGACTCGAAGTGTGGGGACCAGAGTGCACGTTTTAACGGAGACAGACAAGAGCAGAGACCTGGGAGCAGCAAGGAGCCTTTTAACAGACGGACCAAAGGAACAGGCAGGGACTATACCCAAAACCTGAAAGCCTTTGCTCTGCTTTAGCAGCTAGCTGGATGCTCCCTGATGCATGTGGGACCGTGCAGGAGTACAAACTCATTTTCAACACAGATGCACATTGCTGGTTGGAATGTACCATCATGTCTACGTCAGGGGAGGGGGGAGAAAATGCCTGGTGTCATGTTCGGGGGAGGGAAAACCAAAAATGAATCCTTTCTGTGACTTTTTTTTTTCCAGCATGAAATATACACACTATTTATTTATTTTTTTAAATGGAACTATTGTTTTTTGGGGTGGGTGAGGCATTGATTGTGTGTTTTGTTTTTGCTTTTTGTTTTGGGTTTTTGTTTTTGGAAGAAGATGACCAAACTAATCTCAAGTTGATCATGCTTAATTAGGGCTTTTAATTTTTAAAAACTTCTTAGGAGGGAGGGGAACTATGATGGGGCAGAAGGGAGAGGAAGGCTTCCTTTCCTTTTTGCAACCACTTTGGGAGATCAAAATCAATTCCAGCTGCACTTTGTACAGATGGAAAGAAAGACTAAAGATCTGATTTTTAACACTAGTGACGGTTCTGCAGGGAAGCCTGCACAGATACCATTAAGGGGAGTGTGTGTGTAAAACAAAGGAAAAACTGAAATATACTGACTATTTTTTTTTTCCACTGCTGCTCCTGTTGTGTAATTAGCAAGAGTGTCTTTCTCAGAATCTCTTCTGGGTGGCAAGATTATCATACATATCTCATGTTTATTCCATCTCTTCCTTTATACTTTTATTACCTCAGGGTTGCTGTGATCTGTACAGCTTCTGTTGTTGTACTGAGTGTGCTACCGATGGCACTAGAAAGCCTGTTTGGTTATAAGCAGTGCTGTGCTCCAGTACGAGTCAGCCGAAAGCCTTACAAAATTCAGTCGCTAGTCTCTGTCTTAAGCACTGGATTTTAAATTTTTTTTCTGTTAAAGCTTAAGGGAGGGATTTTTAAGAATGAACAAAGTGACAACCATAAATGAATAACAAGGCGAATGACTAATAACTAGCTAGGCTGCTGTCTGAATTACTTCTCGAAGAGTCGTGTTAGAATCAACCGTGAACTCGAGTAGTGGGCTTATCCTAGCAGAGACTCCTACCAGTTATTACGGTGGCTTGGTCGGGGTTCTGCAGTAGTAACCTTGAATGCTGAACTCCTACAAGCAAGTTTTGTTTTCCATCCTTCTTCCATTCCGATTCTTCGTTTGGCCAGTCAGCTCTCTGGATGCTGTGTCTCTGTGGGAGTGTGCCTGCCATCTGTGTGTGCTGGTGATGCCTACAACTTCTGTGATCCATGAGTTAACCTGGCAAGGGCTATACTCAAAGTGCTTCAGGGCTGTGCATGGACACTTTCTGTATTTCTAGTATATAGTGCAGCAGTTCAAGTGTAACTACAGGGGAGTATTTATTCAAAGCACAATTGACTTGAACTTTCACAGATAAAGGACAGCTTCTGAACTGGCTCAAAGGTCATCGGTGTGCCTTCGATGCAGTCATGTGAGCAGAGGTAAAATGACTGTCACATCTCAGTCTTGCTGCCTGTCTTACTATCTCCACTTTATCAGACTCCTGCATTATAAAGCTGCTTGAAGTGAGATGTGTTTCTCTTCATCTTGATTTTTTTTTAAGTTTTCATCTGTGCCTGTTGCCATAGGAGTTTGTGTGTTCGTATGGAGTGGGAGCTGCTGCAGAAACTGTTGGACAACCAGAGTGTTAACTGTAGAAAGCAGTGATCCTGATCTATGAGATCAGGAATGAAGGCTGTTTAAATTTCTGTGTTTAAGTAGCTATGGGTAGTAAACTAACTGTTTTCAGTTGTTACAGCAAATATTTTTTTTTTAAAGAACTGTTTAGTATTCGCATATCGTGAGCAATCCTGTTAACATCAGAAGGACCTGAGCACTGGATATGCTTTGAAGGTGCATCAGAATAAAGAGGCATCTTGCAGCTTTCACAAGGACATTTGATCTGACTTAGAACAGCTCTATTAAAATGAAACAGGACATCAGATAGGCCACGTGACATGGTGGTACCATATGTTTCAGTTTTGAATGCTGGTACTAATCACTTATGTCTTGCAAAACCACTTATTTTCTCTTTATATCTCTTGTAAGTTAACTTACAAAGCCAGAAGGGAGATCACAACTCTCTTCGCCAAGGACGAGGCTGAACGAGTGGATTGTCTCAAGAATGGCTAGCACTTCCCTAGCCTCTCTTAAGCTGTTATGACAGACTGCTGGAAAAACTGTATGTGGAAGCACCTATGGAGAACTAGAGCATAGGGAAGAGGTTTCATCTCCTCATGGAGAGCAGTGTAGTGTAAAAAGCTGTTCTACTTCATGTTGCCTTCAAACCCAAGCTTCCTACAGTAATTCTTAGGAGTGAGGGAGAGGAAGAAGAGCTCTTGTAAGAAACTGTAATAAACTCTCCTCTGTTCTCTGTGAGTTGTTTGTAATCTGCATCTTCTGCCTACTTTTGCTGTACCTTTCCAGAAGTCTTTGCAATACTTGATATAGTAGAAATTCCTTAGTGATCCCATGGATTTTCTTAACTAAATGGTGCTGTGTGGGGGGAAAAAGATTTGAGCTCTGCCTTATTATCCTACACTTGTATGAAGTCTCCTGCCACTAGTTTTCTGAAATGGAGTATTTTCTTTGGAATATGTGGCTTTGCAAGCAGATGCTTTCTATTCCTCCCCTGTACTCAAGGGGGCTGGATGGAGACACTAAGACAATAAAAGGAAGGTGACAGAATGCTGTGGTTCACTGTTCTTGCTGTCCCCACGCAAACATCCTCCCATAAGGGTAGTTATGTAACTTCTGCAGTGTCTAAGGAGATTTAAGCCTTTTCGTAGCACTTATCTGTTTATTGTGTTTTAGTTTATTCAAAGAACACTTCAAAACTTCGCATGACATGGATTACACTACCGAAACAGTATTTAACACAGCTAACCAGCAAAGCATGCAACACTACCAGGCTGTGTCATAAATTGCACTCACACCCCAAGAGTTATCTGAATATGTTCAGTCTATACATTTCTTAAATTATTTGTTCCAAATCGGTAGTTCTTCTGGAACTTAAGTTTCTTGTACTTAATGTGCCTTTAATACAATGGACATCTCTTGATAAAACAATCAGACAATCGTAAACAGGGAGGAGAATAGTATTCAGTAAGTCAACACCAGAAAAAAAATCAAGAAGATATGAATCAAGAGGACATCACACTTTAGAACTTGTACAATAAGAAAAGACTTTTTAAAGGAAAAACCTTGTAATGATTTTGGTGTCCTTTCAAGCATGTAAAAAATCAGCTTCATTCATCTGAATTTCAGCTCCGTATATCATTAAGGATGCATTAAGTCGTTTATGAATCTTGTATCTCTTTCAATGTGATAGTCTGCTTCTTGCAGCTGTACTCTGCTGAAGCTAGTGGGACATCCAGAATAGATCAATCCCTCTTCTGAGATACAGTCACAGCAGAGTGTACTTCTGCTTAATCTTTAATAGGCACTTTCCTTTGAGAGCCTTCCCCTTTGAGACAGAAGTAGAAAAGGGCCAGTCTCAAATACTTAAGTGGCAATACTGTAGCATCAGTGGTTGAAGGCATTGCAGACAGGGAAAAATAACTCATCCCCTAGCAACAGACATAGATTCAGTACAGGGGAAGGGTTACTTTGGCAAAAGGAATATTTTTTCCAATGTAAAAGGCTCCATAAGCCCAGATGTTATTCCAGCAAGGTTTGGTCTTTTATGTAGTATTTACACAATCACTTACACCGTGATAATACTGAGTATCCTCTTGCAGTTTTCAGTCTAATTCATACAGAGGAGTCAACAGAGCAGGGATGTGTGCTCGCAGGTTTGTAGTGCTCCTATTGTTGTTTTTTTTTTTTTTAGACTATCTCACTCCATTCAGGATTCTTCTAAAAGATCAACTAAATCCATGTAGATGATGTGAAACTGGCAGTTCATACAATCACTGGCTGTGCAGGTGAGTTTCAGTTAAATTTTCCTTTTTAAGGTTTATTTAGGTATAAGATAGAAGCTTTGAAATAACATCCTTTTAGGAAAAAATGCAGTAGTGTTGGCCTGTGTCTTTCAAGAAGCAAGTTAGAATGATTCCCCCCCCCCCCTTACTTTAAACAGGTTTAGTGCAAATTTCTTCACATACGTTCACCAAGGCGCTTTTATCATGTCCCTTGCTGTTCTATGATCAGAAGAGTAGCAATTATGATCAAATATTTCCCTGTAACAAAACAGGCCATCAGACTCCTAATGCTTCTTGTTTATGGTGATGTCCCAGCAGCCACATCTTGAAGGGTGTGCAATATTAAATTCCTGTTGCAGAAATAGCACTAGAATTCTTCATTACCATACGGTTTCACTAAATAAAGGTATAGTCAGGAGCTTGGATTCTGGCGGATTCATTGGAAGTAGTGCTTACAAAAATTCCTATGCGAAAATTGTAGTTAATGTTTATATATAATCTTTTACTGTCTCAAGTTTGTCAACTGAACATGAAAACACTATCATGAGATCATTCTCTCACAGAATAGAGCTGGCACAAATCTGAGTAACGTTGCAGTAAGAAAAACCTCCAACAGAGGCAGAAAAGGTGCAGTACTGTTACTGCAGGAACAATGGCTGCCACAGTGGACAAACACTTACAGTGCCCGCATGTTCTCAGCTTTCTTCTGCTTTTCAAGATCTCCTGCCTTGTTAAAGCAGAGTGACGTGAAAGAAGCGTGATTCCACAGCTGTTTTTCCTTTGGCTCTAACAGATTTGAACTTTGTGGGCCAGAAACAGAAGTATGTTCTGGAGTTCCTGATCAGAAACATTCTTATTTGTCCACAACTTAGGCATAACACATCATGCACAAATATGTTGTTTCTGAAAGCAAGGTATAAAACCACATTGGGTTAACATGTGTGCCCTGAAGGAGACTAGACATGTGGCCCTCTGGGTAGTAAACAGAAGGTCAGCATCTGTTTCTTTTCCTCAATTCTAAAGAAAGGTACAATGAAGCAAGTGTCCTGCTAAACGCATAGGCAATCCCTTCTCATCTCTCCAAATGTTAAGGTACATAAAGCCAAAGCTAGCAAAACCTGTGTGAGAGAGAAGTTTTGTGGAAGCTTTGTGGGGAAAAAGCTTTATGCTGAGCCTGAAGATCCATGGCTAGGACCACAACACCAAGCTTAACAAAAAACCTAGAACAACAACAACAAAAAAACCCACCTTAGTTTGTAGTGAATTATATTCTGTTGTTAATAGGGTCAGTGCAACAGAAAGGAAATCCCAGCATCCTAAAACAAGGGGAAGGGAACATTCCCAGGCTTGTAAAGCATGCAATGGTCAGAGTGCCTGGGTTAAGTAGTGCAATGCACTCTAACGAGACTGCATCTGCTCTGACTTAAGAACTTCTTTCTCCCCTTGCCAAAGTTCAGTGGTGATGTTTTGCTGGAGCAGCAGAAAAATCTTCAGTCAAGTTTGAAAGATGCTGCGCTCTTCAGAAGACTAAGCCAGCAAAAAGACTTGGTCTTACAGTAGTTCCATCATATAATAAACATTCCCTGCTTTTCCTGGAGAAGAACTACCTTCCTCACCAAATGGATTTAGATACTG